TATTTTGATCATATATATTTTTTGGAGGAATTTTAATATGAATGTCCATCGCTGTTGGCACCCATGACTGGAAGCACTCCACATCATCAACATTTCACAATCCTTAAAATGTCGAAATTCCATTCAGGTTGAAACCAGTTATTTGCAAGACGCAATTTACTTGTAAATAAAGAAGATGCGACAAGAACAGTAATAATAATAATGATAATCTAAGAAAAAAAAATGAAAATTTCAACAGCAGGCACTTTCATTCTGGTTTTCGTAACGAAAACAATGAAATTTACGCTCGCATTTCCAAAATATTCCTTTCAGTTCAAGAAGGTTGTAAACACGATGGCAAATACGAAACAGCTGAACATCGACATTCGTAATAGACACTAAGCTGATCTGAAGAGGATAACACTTATATGATCATTGTACTGGCATTTCGTTAAAAAGAATTGTCACTTTGAGAAGCATTATTTCCTCGGTGTATATATATATATATATTTATATATATACGCTGTTTTAATTTGTTTGGAAATTGATACGAAGGCAGTGTGTGTATGTGTGTATGTGTGTATGTGTGTGTGTGTGTGTGTGTGTGTGTGTGTGTGTGTGTGTGTGTGTGTGTGTGTGTGTGTGTGTGTGTGTGTGTGTGTGTGTGTGTGTGTGTGTATGTGTGTGTGTGTGTGTATGTGTGTGTGTGTGTGTGTGTGTGTGTGTGTGTGTGTGTGTGTGTGTGTGTGTGTGTGTGTGTGTGTGTGTGTGTGTGTGTGTGTGTGTGTGTGTGTGTTTGCTAAATGAATGATACATGATTTGATATATAAAATAAAAAATTGCAATGCTTTCATACATTACACAAATATTTTTGACATACAAATGATGAGAAATCCTTACAATCCGGACATCAATAAACAAAATAAAAGCACAAGTTTAAACAAATTAATAACTTAGTCTTATTGTATTATAATACTAATCATGATTGTAGCTCTTTCTAATGATAACCCTAACAATAAAAAATTACTGCATATCGAAAAAGTGGCAGGTTTGAAAAATCAACATCGTTATAGCTATTCAACATAATGTCATTACATTAAGCTTGTATATAAAAAGGCCTGAATTCACAAAGTTAACAATGAATGCATATATTAACATGTACACAATATTTTAATGTTAAGACTGCTATCTTACATATTCAGTCCCATGCCTGTTATTTTCTATTTTTATTCGACCTCACTTAAATCAAATTATTAAACCAAAATTATTCATACAGAAAAAAACAGGTTTTTTAAAAAGTTTCGTTTCATGATGCAAATAATAACTAACATTATATTTCAAGTCAGGTAAAATTTAATACCAAGGTCATTTTGAGCAATAAACATTTCATACCGATGGATCATAGAGTTAAAAAATAAAGTCATTTTACGTACTTCTAAAACAGGACTGAGAAACGATAGTCTTATGTCAATAATGAATTTACGAGACATTTCGCGTAACAATAAAATATTACAGTCGTTCCTCAATGGAAACGTAGTCTACCTTTCGTTTTCTTTCGCATTTCTATCGTTTACCGAGCCATGATAAACAGTATTTATTTACAGAGCTATTTAATCATTTATGGAAATAATCATCTTGCTACATCAAGCCACAGAGATGGAAATTGAAAAGTCGTAGATTATTTTCGAATATATTATTACAAAAAAGAAAATTAGTATTAATAATAATAATAATGATAATAATGACGCATTACCTACCTACACTACATTACCTTCAACTCAATATAGATTCATTTATACACGCATTTGAAATAAATATTCGAAGTAAAAAGTTAAACATAATGAGAGGTATAATCCCTATAAAAATGTCATGAGAATTCCTCCCTATAACACCGGGGGAAGGAATGGACATAAGAGCCGTATCTTCGTAAGGAATACTGGGCTAAAGAGAGCACTGAAGAGAAAGATAGATAGATAGATAAATATAGTGTAAAAGATTGAAACAAAAAGAAGCATTTAGACAACAAATACAATACGAATACATTGTATTTCATCAATAATGATTTCGAGGAATACAATGCAAGAAAATCACCATTTCACACCATAAGTATCCAGTAATAAAATGGCCAAAAATCTGATTAAGAGAGGCTTGACTAGCAAGAATTCATTAATCGACTAAAAAAATCCATTATTAAGTTAACATAAAATTTTCAAAACACCACCTGGAAAAATCTGAAAAAAATCAGCAATATACAGTGCTAGATATAAACATTATATACATTTAAGTATCTATTTCATCATCCTGCGAAGGAAACAAACCAAAGAATAATAACAACAACTAAATACTATCCAATTGCTAATTCTGTTACACTACTGAGCCATACAATTACTCAAAACTATTGATATAATAAAATATAATCTCAACTTCAAATGCTTAACTAAATAAGCATCTTTTTTCAATACTATTTGAAGAAGTGAAGCATACAAAAGTCCTTTTTTTCATTAAAGCAGTAACAGTTCTTCAAAAAGGTTAAATCCTCCTTTTCTTACATCATAAATTTACCTTACGCGAGAGACACTTTGAATGAGTTCAGCCCACGACGGGACTCGAAACAGCGATGCTAAACAATAAAGAGGAACGTTATTCTCCTTTGATTATATTTAACACTGAAGACGTTCAAAACTCTCCGTCAGACAAACGAGTATTCTTGTTTGCGATTTCTTTTAGCTGGCGGCGCTCGGCTTCGAAATTCGACGACCCTACGTGCCGCCCCGCTCGAACTTCGAAATGAGCGAACTGACCCGCGAGTTAGATCTCTTGATGCTCTCGCCACCCGACGACACAGGACTCAGACTCCGGACGCTCTCGTCGATCCACTCGAAGTCGGGCGTCATAGAGTCGGCTGTGAACATCTCCTCTGTCGTGTCGCTGCTGACGAGACACGCCGGGATGCTCATGTCTCTGGTGAAGTGCGAAGGACCCACAGCGCCTTCGGCCACTCCTTCCTCGAAGGCAGGGACGTCTGTGGGGGTTTTCTCGGCGGATCTTATGTCTGTGGGGGTTTTCTCCGCAGATCCTATGTCTGTGGGGGTTTTATCGGCGGATCCTAAGCCTGTGGGAGTTTTCTCGGTGGATTCTGTACCTGATTTGCTGTCGCTGTCATCGAAGTCGAATTCTGAACGTCCATCCAGAAAGTCGACCAGACTCAATCTCTTTTCTTCGTCATCCTTTACGTCCTTCTCCATCAAGGACACATTTTCCAGAATCTCAGCGAGGAGGTCTTCTATGACTGGGAGCTTCTTGGGGGATTCAACCTCTTCCTTTTTCTCTTCCTCTTTTGGCTTTTCTTCTTCTCCCTCTGGTTTCTTTACGTCACTTGGACTGATCTCTTCTTCCTTTGCACTTGCAACCAAACTCACAGCTTCGTCTTCCACAGACTTCTTAGCGGTTTCCTTCTTCTTTTTACGCATTGGTAAAATCACACAGTGACTATAGAACTTTTTGTAGAATGGGTGACTAGCATGCTCATGTACTAGTTCATTCAGACCATGGGTTGCAGGGAGCGTCTTAGTTGTCTTATAGAGGATGGCTTTACTGTCCGCCGGATCCCCTAAAGTGTTGGATCGCTTGGGCTTCGATGACTTTTCTGGCTTATCGAAAGACCTCCGTCCCCCCGAGCGTCGTATCAAATTCAAATTATCGAGTTTGTCTCTCTCCTCAGCATCTCCTTTCTTGTCGCCATTGAGAATGTCTAAAGAATGGAAGCTAGCTGCCTCTACGTCATGGAAGCTCGTGGAGTTCCGATCGCCTTCGATACCTACTCCTAAACTCGACTCCTTGTCACTATAGCCACTGTCCAACAGGGGCTCACTCTTAACGCTATCCCTCTCACTCTTCTTATAGCTAGAATCGTCCTCTTCTTCAGTCGTCGGGCTTTGTACCTGTAGGCACATACCCCACACTCGACTTGGGTGCTTTCGTACCACCGACCTTTCTCTTTCTCCTCCACTCTCAGCACTTGTCTCTTTCTTATTAAATATACGCACAAACTTGGACACTTTACTTTCCTTCTTTTCACTGACTAGAGTCTCTGTGTTTGCTTCGGGGTCTGCATCGCCCGTTAGCTTATGGATGCCTGGACATTCTTCCAAGAAAATGGACTTTGGAGGGCTTAATTTCACCGCAGGTTTGTTGTCCAAGCCTGCACTGTCTTCCAGTTTCTCCACCGTGTATCTGTCAATGCCTGGCCAACCGTTTGTGATGATCCTGCCATTATTCAAATTTACTTCAAACTTAGTTTCCTGTGAGATCTCTTTGTCTGGGGATGGTTTGCTCTTTATTATTTGTCCTGTTGGCGATCTCTCATTCTGTAGCAAGGGCTGAGTCTCATTGCCGTTATCCAGTTCTGAGTCTTCTTGTAGTTGGTTGTCTGGAGTCTGTACTCTGTCCTTTGTTGTCGATTCATCTACCTCTTCTGTAATGCTAGATTCTTTTGTACTTTCTTTCGCATTATCTGGAAGTTCTTGGTGGTTGTTATTGCTAGCGTTAGATGGGTCAGTGGCCGCCCTTTCCGCTTCCTCGCTCTCTTCATTCAACTCGTTTTCGTCTTCCTCAATCACTATGTCACAAGGTTCTATGATGTTGATGGGGATTTCTCGTATGGTGGACGTACTTCTATCGCCATTTTTCAAAACTTTGTTATCCTCCAGGTTCTTGAAAAATCTCTCTCTGGCCGAGAGGTTTCTGGCGCTGGGAGAAACGTACGTCCTGTCGTCCCTAGCTACGTGCGTCCCTGCCGGCCAGTCGCACTTGGTCTTCAGCCTCTTCGAGCTGCCTTCGGCCTCAGCCTCGTCCCCGTGTTTCAGCTCGGCGATGTTCCTCTGCGCGAACACCGCCGGGCTGTCCTCCTTCTGACTCTTGGGCGCACTGCTGACGAACGGCGCCCCGCCCTCCCGCGAGGTTGTCATGGTTCCAGAGGAGACCACAACCTCGTGTTCCCCGCTGGAACCATGGGGCTTTTCTCAGGACTGCGGCGTGGTGGCTTCGCAGGTGTCCATGCTGGAGACGCGGAAGCACATGCGGGCACCGAGAGCACATGAGTTCGAGGGCGAGGCTAAGTGCACCAGAGGCTCGGAAGGGCGAGGAGTGGTCGAGGCGCGCACAATCTCCTGAAAGGGAAAGAGGAGAGTTACTACTAATGACTTTGTGGGCTGATTATACACTGTTGTGTGTATAATTTCCGTTATATCTTGAATAAAGAATTTGTCATCAAAATATTATCACTGATTCATAAACAAATAGGATAATGTCTTAACCCACGCAATATTTTCTAAATCTACAGTACTATTAGGTTACGAAGCCTCTTCTAGATGATAATATGAGAGAGATAGACAAATTGATAAAGAGGTGAGAGGAAAGAACAAAGAGAAGGAAAAAAACCGACCATACACATAAATTCAAACATTAAAGGAAGACAACCCTCAACCCAAAATACCCACAACAAGCCCCCCCTTCCCCCCTTCCCCCCACGCAACCGTCCCCCTCGCTCACCTTCCTCAACACCTGCGGGATGGCCTCTTCGTCCACCGGGCCCTGAGGGATGAAGCTGAGGGCGTTGGAGTTGACGCAGAAGCGCTTTCCTGTGGGCTTGGGTCCGTCGTCGAATACGTGGCCGATGTGAGCACCGCAGGTCGCGCAGCCCACCTCCGTCCGGGCCAGTGATGGGTTGCATACTAACAGTAGCAAGTTAGCACCAACTGGGGGGAGAAAGGGTGCCGTTAGAAGAGTCAGTAAGGGGTTAGAAGACATAGATATGTTTAGAAGGGCTTTAGAAGTGATATAAATGTTTAGAAGGGTTAGAAGGGTATTCTAGTAGTTTATAAACGAATTATTTTGATATAATGATTTTCATATAGAGAATTTGTAATTGATCTTTTTGCACAGAACTGAGGTGCAACTAGAGGAAATTAGGAGGGAAAATCGTCATAAAAGTTATATACGTATATGTAACGACCAGTAAAAAACAACTTTACAGGCAGTATAAAAAAATGATTAATATATATATATATATATGATATAATATAACACAATATAATACAATAATGATGACGATGACGATGACTACAACGACGACGATGATAATAATTACCATCATCAACACTGCAACATTATAATACCCCCCAAAAACAACAACCACAACACTTACCATGAGACAGATCCTGCTTGAGGGAGACCTTTTCATTATCGATGACGTCATAGAAAGCAGGCCAACCAGACCCCGAGTCGTACTTGGTGTGCGACAGGAACAGTTCCTCCCCGCACACCACGCACGAGTAGATCCCGCGCTCCCAGTGTTTGTAGTACTTGTTGGAGTAGGGCCTGTGGAGAGAGGGCGGTTGTTAATGTTTTTCTTTTGTTATTTTGGGTGTTTTTCTTTGTTATTTTGTTATTGCGGTGGGTAGTAGGGCCTGTTGAGAGAGGGCGGTTATTCATGTTTTTTTGTTATTTTGGGTGTTTTTCTTTGTTATTTGTTATTGCGGTGGGTAGTAGGGCCTGTGGAGAGAGGGCGGTTGTTAATGTTTTTTTTGTTATTTTTGGTGTTTTCTTTGTTATTTTTATTGCGGTGGGTAGTAGGGGCTGTCAATAGAGGGTTTGATGTTAGTGTTTTTGTTCTTTTTGTTTGTTTCGTTTGTTTCGGTTTGGTTGTTATTGTTGTTGGAGTGGGTAGTTGGGTTTGTCGAGAGAGGGTATGTTAATGTTTTTTGCCTTTTTTTGTTATTTTTGTTGTTTTCGTTGTTATTGTTATTGCAGTGGATATAGGGCCTGGCAACAGAGGTGTCATTAATGTTTTTTTGTTAGTTTTCGGTTTGGTTGTTATTGAGGGTTTGTTGTGATACTTTTTTTTCGTTGTTTCGGTCTGGTTTGTTATTGTTAATGGGGTGAGTAGTGTAAAAAGAGGGTTTGTTGTTGTTTATGCTTTGTTATTAGTATGGCAGTAGTTGCAGTGCTTGATGGAACACGGTCTGTAAAAAAGAGGTTTTGCTATTCATGTTTTTATTTGTTTGTTTGTGTTGTTGCTTTGGGTGTTATTAAAGCAAACACTACGATTAGTACAATACGGCGAGGTATGAGTTTAGTACTTCCTGGGATACGGCCTAAGGAGAGATTTCGTTGTTAATGCCTTTTTTTGTGTCCTTGCTGTTTTACTTTATATGTAATATTAAAAAAAATATAACAGTGCTATAACATATATTTTTTTTTTTTTTTTTTTTTTTTTTTTTACAAATAACCAAGTAATATCATAATTAACGTTTAACCCAATGGCAAGAATAGATGCCATGCCCACTTTAATATAATTTTATTTATTGTATTTACACATAGATGGCTCTACAAGTGCTTAGTCGCCAAGGAGTCAGTTATTAGTCCTACCTGTCTCACCTGTTTATCCATTTCCTCGACTCTTGGAAAGGGTCTTTTGCATTATTTCATTGTCTTGAATGCTATCGAGATTTTAATAACAATTTAATAATCATATCAATAACAATAATAACAGTATTGATATCAGCTGTATTAATAAGAAAAACACATATTCCCGCCAATTCAAGGAATGGGGAAATCAGGATCGGTCACTCGGGCAACTGATAGACTCCTTGCCGGCTTGAGCACATGTGGAGCCATCTGTGTGTAACAACATTCACAAAAAAAAAAAAAAAAAAAAAAAAAAAAAAAAAAAAAAAAAAAAAAAAAAAAACAGAGAACAGGACATAAGTACGGGGCGGTTGGGTTAACTTTCCGTTGATATACTTTTTTTTTTAAGAAATAGCTTCATTATCAATCATGGTTTTGGATGTTAAAAACATTCGAATATTGGCGCTAAAACGAAATTGTTATGCCACTAAACGGACGTAATTTTCACCGAGGCTGGACTACGAGCCTATTGCAAAACACCATGACGCAAGTGCATACAATGTGTCGTCTACATGATTACGTTGCCAGGAAACCAGAGAAGTGTCCTTGGAAATCTTATCTTATTTGACTAAACATTCCAAGTCGAGCAATAACAAAAAAAAGAAGGAAAAAAGGACAAAACAAAGACATTTCTTTCGTTGTTTTTCGTGACTCGTTAAGACTTGCGTCGTGAGTAAATTCATGTGTAATTGCATTCCATAATTAAATTGCGGCCTCACTTTCCAGGAAGAAACACGTAGATGAAATGACAAATAGAATGGTAGGAAAGGAGGACGAAGGGGAAGAAGAAGAAGAAGAAGAAGAAGTAGAATAAGAAAAAGAAGAAGAAGAAGAAGAAGTAGAATAAGAAAAAGAAAAAGAAGAAGAAGAAGGAGAAAAGGAAGAAGAAGAAGAGGAAGAAAAAGAAGAAAAAGAAGAGCACAGGGAGAATTAGAAGGAGAAGAATAGGGAAGAGGAGAATAAGAATAAGACACAAAGATGATAAAGACGAAAAAGAGGGAAAGGAAGAAGAGCAATATGACGAAAAGGGCAAATAAGAAAATGAAGAACAGGATAATACGAATTAAAAGCCGAGAATGATAGTAGGAGAAATGAAAATCATATAACATATCTATTTTTTCTATCTCTCTCTCTCTCGCTCTCAACTCGCACATATAAATTAAGACAACAGTAATACATTCAAGTAAAGTCTAAATCATATTACTGGATCATTCTTTATAATTTCCAGTAAAACACAGACTCAAACATAAAAAATACATACATATATACACACATACGTACACACACACACACACACACACACACACACACACACACACACACACACACATATATATATATATATATATATATATTTCTAACTTTATAATTATTATTATTATGTTATGTGTTAATAAATATCTACATTATTATTATCATTATTATCCTAATTATTTGTTATCAAAGATCATTTATTTCAGTTTCAACATTACCATTAATTATCAAAAATAATCTTATAATAGTAATAATAATAATAATAATAATAATAATAATAATAATAATAATATATTTTTATAATAGTAATAATAATAATAATAATAATAATAATAATAATAATAACATATTTTTAATAGTAATAATAATAATAATAATAGTAATATAATAATAATAGTTATAATAATAATAATAATAACATATTTTTACTGATATCAGGATTTCCATCACTATTATTATAACCAAATGCTTTCGACATGTACCATAATCTATTTTTTTAACTTTTTTTTAACCATTTTCATACAATGCATTTACATTTATCAAGGGCATGGCAGTAAAGAGGGGAAAAACAGAAGAAGAGAGAGGGAAAGAAAGATGGAAAAGGAAGAGACATGAGACAGACAAAGAGATGATGCGAGTAGGAAGAGCAGAGGGAGAGAAATAAAGAATCCCGCCATTTCTTCTCCTTCACCGGATATGACGTCACGACACGCGCGCCACGTAAGGCTGATAATGGCACGGTTAAGGGATACGAAAGACGACACTACCAGCATGACACCCCGCCAACCCCTAACCCCCTCCCTCTCCTCGGGGAAAAAAAGACGTTTTCCATGACGGCGAAACGTGACTGATCGGATGACGTCACAGGCCTGAGACTTCACAAGGGAATTTCGCCGATACAGTTTTAATGGAGATATCGTGACGTCACAGTGATGTAATGCTTTCGTTACACTGACGTTATTATGACTGCTAAGTTTTAATATGTTTTTTGTAGGACTTAAAAAGGTACACACACACACACACATATATATATATATATATATATAGTTCTAACTTTATAATTATTAGTATTATGTTTGTTAATAATATCTGTATTATTATTATAATTATTATCCTAATTATTTGTTATCAAAGATCATTTATTTCAGTTTCAACATTACCATTAATTATCAAAAATAATCTTATAATAGTAATAATAATAATAATATTAATATCAGTAACAAGTGAATTATACCATAATCAACATATTTTTACTGATATCAGGATTTCCATCACTATTATTATAACCACATGCTTTCGACACTTTTTTTTTTACCATTTTCATACAATGCATTTACATTTATCAAGGGCATGGCAGTAAAGAGGGGAAAAACAGAAGAAGAAAGAGGGAAAGAAAGATGAAAAAGGAAGAGACAGACAAAGAGATGATGCGACTAGGAAGAGCAGAGGGAGAGAAATAAAGAATCCCGCCATTTCTTCTCCACACCGGATATGACGTCACGACACGCGCGCCACGTAAGGCTGATAATGGCACGGTTAAGGGATACGAAAGACGACACTACCAGCATGACCCCCCCCCCCCGCCAACCCCTAACCCCCTCCCTCTCCTCGGGGAAAAAAAGACGTTTTCCATGACGGCGAAACGTGACTGATCGGATGACGTCACAGGCCTGAGACTTCACAAGGGAATTTCGCCGATACAGTTTTAATGGAGATATCGTGACGTCACAGTGATGTAATGCTTTCGTTACACTGACGTTATTATGATTGCTAAGTTTTAATATGTTTTTTGTAGGACTTAAAAAGGTAAGAGAGATGGATATGGCAATCTCGTTACGGTCTCGTATGGTTGAAATACTCCATATTACATCATGTTATATTATATTATATCACACACACACAATTATGTTCTACTAAATCCTAGAAGAGAGAGAAAAACACAACATATCGAGAGAGATATTTTGATACAGAGAGAAAACAGAGAGCTGACAGGGAGGAGAGGAGAATGGAGGGGAGAAGAGAGGGGGGTGAGAGGGGGAGGAGGAGGAGAAGAGGGGGAGGAGGAGGAGAAGAAGAGAAGGGATGATAGCGGAGAGGAGAATATAGGGGGGAGGAGAAGAGAGGGGTGTGATAAGGGGAGAGGAAAATGGAGGGGGATGGGAGGAGAAGGGGAGAGGAGAATGGAGGGGGATGGGAGAAGGGGAGAGGAGAATGGAGGGGGATGGGAGAAGGGGAGAGGAGAATGGAGGGGGATGGGAGGAGAAGGGGAGAGGAGGACAAACAGCCGGAAACCAGCCGCCAGAGAGGAGCGACGTCGAGCCCAGAAGGACCTACCTCTCCGTGATCTTCTCCTGCGTGACGCGGTACTGCATCGGCGTGAGCTTCTTCAGCATCTGGTCCTTCTCCTCTTTCTTGATGATTCTGCTGGGCTTCCCGGTGGTCTGCTGGGGTCCCTTGGGCTTCCACACACGGGGGCTCCTGGGCACACCTCCCCCAGGGGTCGTGGTGGTGGCGGAGGTGGAACTCGGGGAGCCTCCGGGCGCAGGGGTGAGCGTGCCGGTGGTACCCCTGGGCGAGAGATTGGTCCGCGGCGAGAGGTTGGTGCCCCTGGGCGGGTTGGTACTCCGGGGGATCAGGCTGCTCCTGAGGTTGTCCCTGGGGGAGAAGGAGGTCCTGGAGGAGAGGGAGGAGGGCGTGCGGGAGGAGAGGGCGCCGCGGGGGGAGGTGGCGGAGGTCTGGTTGAGGTTCCCCCGCGCCGACACCGGCCGGAGGTTCGCGAACTGGCGGGGCTCCATCGTCACCTGCAAGGAGGAGGGAGTTAGGCCGGGCCGCTACAGCGAGGTACTTTTTGCGATTACTCAGCTTTTGTTATTAGCGATTTGTTAATACTATCTTTGTCCATTTAATAATTCATCTGCTACTGGTATCATCAATGTATTCGGATATTATCTGAGTTACCGTCACCGCCATTATCATTATCAATATCATAACCATTATTACAGTCATTCTCATTCTCATTATTATTATTATTTTCATTATTGGTTGTAATAACTATAATAATGATTGTGAAAGACCAAACAGTACAAAAATATCAAGCAAAAAAAAACAAACAAACAAAAAAACAGGTATTTCCTTTTTTCTTCTCCCAAAACCAATCTTTTCTACAGTAAAAAAAAAGTCAAAAGATCGCAAGAAAAAGTGACCTACATGTGCAACGGATGTGACGCCGCCCGCGAGTCTGTAGTATCTGTATAATCATCCAATACAAATTGATAGTCACTGCTTAAAGTCCATTAGAACTTGTTGGACGAACTTGAAAGTGTATTCTTGAGTTAATTCATCCCTTTTGTGTGACTTTTATGACCGTATCAAGAATTTAGGTTATGCTGTCTGGTTCTGAGGATTTTTTTTTTTTTTTTTTTTTTTTGGTGTGTGTGTGAACGCGAGCGTGTGTGTGCTTGTATCTGTCCGATTTGGAGGTGCATTGTCGAAAAAATATATATATATATATATATATATACACAAACACACACATAAATCTATACATACATATATATATATATATACACATATATATATATATATATATATATATATATATATATATATATATATAGAGAGAGAGAGAGAGAGAGAGAGAGAGAGAGAGAGAGAGAGAGAGAGAGAGAGAGAGAGAGAGAGAGACAGACACAGACACACACACACACACACACACACCACTCCAACACCCCCTTACCATATACCTCCCCGTTTCCCCACAATATTGCAAATGATCAGGTGACAACAGACTCCCATTGCAAGCCGCATCGCTGAATTCCCACGGCTGCAACAGCATCGCAACAGGAGAGCGAGTCACGCAGCCACAGACTCACAGACACAAAGACGTAGTTACGAGAATGAGGTAACTTGCACGTGCGTCACCCGTTCGCGTGCATGCCCCTCGTCCCGATGCGCGGTCAAAGGGCGTCGGCTTCGTGTCTCCCATGTAATTTCGGCGGGAGATTTGTTCGAACACTTTGGTTTATTTGCTGATGTGTTTACTTTAACGTTTTTTTCCCTTCTTCGTGTATTTGGCGAGGTTGCAAATAAGATGGATTGGAAAGAGCAATCTAAACGATAAGAATTTGGGAAACTGTTGCAAGCAATTCTCGCCAAACTCACGCAATGAGACAAGTTCCCTCCTCGTCGAGAGAAAGGCTTCTTCCAATGGTGAGTAAGCGGGATAAGTAGAGAAGGGGGGGGGGGGGGGGGGGAGGAGAAGAAAAGGGGTGACAGAAGGGGAGAGAAGAGAGAGAGAGGAGAGGAAAATGGAGGAGGAGAAAAGGGGTGACGGAAGGGGAGAGAAGAGAGAGAGACGAGAGGAAAATGGAGAAGGAGAAAAGGGGTGACGGAAGGGGAGAGAAGATAGAGAGAGGAGAGGAAAGTGGAGGAGAAGAAAAGGGGTGACAGAAGGGGAGAGAAGAGAGAGAGAGAGGAGAGAAAAATGGAGGAGAAGAAAAGGGGTGATGGAAGGGGAGAGAAGAGAGAGGGAGGAGAGGAAAATGGAGGAGGAGAAGAAAAGGGGTGACAGAAGGGGAGAGAAGAGAGAGGGAGGAGAGGAGAATGGAGGAGGAGAAGAAAAGGGGAGAGGAGAAGAGAGAGGGAGGAGAGGAGAATGGAGGAGAAGAAAAGGGGTGAGAGAAGGGAAGAGAAGAGAGAGGGAGGAGAGGAAAATGGAGGAGAAAAAAAGGGGTGATGGAAGGGGAGAGAAGAGAGAGGGAGGAGAGGAGAATGGAGGAGGAGAAGAAAAGGGGTGATAGAAGGGGGGAGGAGAAGAGAGGGGGTGTGGGAAGGGGAGAGGGGGATGGGAGGAGAAGAGGAGAGGAGGAGAAGAGAAGGAGATGAGAGGAGAAGAGAGGGGGAGTAGGGGGAAGGAAGGAGGAGGAGGGGAAAGGAGGGAGGGAGGGAGGGAAGGAGGGAGGGAGGGAGGGAGGGAGGATGAAGATAAGGAATAGAGAGAAACAGGGAGGCAGATGAAGAAAAGGAGGTAAAAGAAGAGAAGAGAAGAGAAGTGTAATAGAGGAACAAGACGAAGGAGAATAATTAAAATGACAACAACAAAATACAGCCAATACCATGAAAAATAACATCAGCAGCATCACCGACACCACCACCTTCAACAACAACAACAACAAAAACAACAACAACAAGAATAGTAAAACAAATGATAAAAAAAAAGCGGCCGAACGGACACCAGGTCACTAGGGGATGATCCGAACACGGGCGAAGCCGAACCCACGTGTCTCCAAATCCTTTAT